GCTGTCGAGCACATCAAGAAATCTCAAGAAGCAATGATTGCTTCTAAAGAACAAACATCGACGACAATCCACATTTCAGGTAGGGGAACGTGTCTGGGTCAAGGCTAGTGAACTAGGACAAGCATTTTGCATCCTTGTGTCTGGGTCAAGGCTTCTAATGCCGCAATATTTTGGTCCTTGGGAGGTTCGAGATACCATGGGTAATGATTTGGACGGTCCCTCGTATGTTTTTGGTATCCTTGGTCACTTACACACTTACCCTGTGTTTCACGCCTCAAAGCTTGCACCTTTCTCTGATACACAACGATTCCCACCAAGGAGATCAATGCTGCCCCCAACCAGGGATGGCCACGTAGATGTCAACAAGCCTGTGGGCAGAGGAAGACCGCCGAAACCCAAGAGGGAGTACCGGGTCAGATTCAGGCATCACACGGATCCAAAAGAAGACCGATGGTTCACAAGAGAGGAACTGGTTGAAACCGCCCCTCAAATTGTGGTAGACTATGAAAGAAGGTTGAAGGGGAAGGCTCCTGCTTAAGAAGAATCTCACCGGACTTTCGAAGCTAAGGGGGATGGAATGTGAGGCATGTGTCCTTATGGGGCCCTAGCCAACATGCACATGTTCTGGACTGTGGGCCCCCCACCAAGCCTCGTGCCCCCCCTAAATGAAGGCAGGCCTGAATATCCACGAGAGGCCCTTATCTCAACATTTTCCAATGTGGGCATTAGACAGTTGCAGCACACTAGTTGGTTGAAGTGCAACCTGGGCCTCTTCCTGGGCTCTTTCCAGAAGCACTAGCTGCGTCAAGCAGTTGAGCCGAGGACGCAGGTGGTTGCGCCTTGGGCACACGCAATGTGAGGCTGACACCGCAAAGTGGCCACGGGCCAATGAGAATGCAGCATTGTTGTCACACCTACCTCGCGGGCCAATGCAAACACGACAAACACTTGGAAGCCTGGAGGCATCCTTAAGGTGCCCAACCTAAGAGGGCCTAGGTCCTTAACTGTAGGAATGGGTCTGGGCGGAGACATTGGGGCCCGACCGGAAGCTACTGAAATTTTCCTCGGCCAGACCCAGACAGCCTAGCAGGGCAGCTACTCCCATAAAGGGTCTGCGTTAATGTTGCTTGTTGGGGTGCATGCGGGCGCTATGAGTTGAAGAGGGGCACTGCAGGGCAGCGGGGCGCTTTGCGGCCATAGCCAGGATGCCAGGGCGTGGGAAGGTGATGGGTGAAGGTGCTCTTCAGGGAAGGAGGCGTATGAGTGGGTGGACAAGGTCTGATGAGGGGAGAAGAGAACGTACCTGGTGTATGTGGGAGGTTGGCATTGGTGTTGACGTCATGTACGTTGGTCTTCGACGACGAAGTGATCCTGTTGCACAAATGTAGATAGGATAAATAGGCGGAGTAGAGTAGGCTGGGCGTGGGGCGCCATACAGTAGGAACGACAATGGATACTGCGTTGGTGTGGCCTGAGGGCTTGGACATTGGCTCACGAGCTCATTGTATGATTCTTATGTGGATGGAATCTTGGTGCATTTATGCTCTCTACTTGGTACGTGACTATCTGGACTTCTGTGTGATTTTGCAACGTGGTTTTCTGTCTATCGCTCTCGCTCATATTCCTTGCAATATTCTTCTCTCAAATCTTTCATCGTCTTTCAATTTCTTTCAATTCACCTTCACTACCTCCCTACCACTACTTATAACCTCGGAAGCTGACGCTGACCAGGGGCTCATTGACCAAGTACAGACCAGTTAAAATTCCAACGTCAAAGGCAAACACATGGCATATAATGGTAAGGTTGTTCGATACACTTCACTGCTACTGCTCCATGATGCGCGAACAGCTCCTCTGTAATCGCCACGTCTGTATCGCTTTCCAACCCAACCACTTTTCCTTAGTAAACCCCAAGCTTTGGCCACAATCGCCGGTCAACGCTTCTTTGTTCAAGGTTGCCGCCCAATTCCTCTGCACGCAGCCCTGAATCCCGCGCGGCGCCGGTGTTCACCCACTCCACACGCTCAAGTCAGCGCCGGCGAGGTGGAAGACAACGAGAGATTGCTCTGGTACCAAATTGCAACGAGACCACAATTCACATTGCACCTCACACCGGACTGATGTCATACCACATCACATGAAAGCTCACACCAGAGAGGGACGTGAACATGAGATGTGAGAAATTTGAAGACTGATTGTAAATTTATGTCATACAATAGTTCATATGTGTACAAGTGGAGGCCGCCAATCAACAACTCTCAGGTATGAACCCTCTCTCTCTCTCTCTCTCTCTCTCTCTCTCTCTCTCTCCCCCCCCCTCCCCCCCACTCCGCCCTCATGCATCTCTCGCTCTCTGCATGTCTTTCTTGGTCTCTCTCCATCTCAACCTACTTCTATGGTGCCATGTACTGTCGACTACTCTGCTCGATATGCTTAAGCTCATTGGATACTTGGTTGCACAAGACCGCAACAGTGCTTCTGCAACCAGCTTGAACGGAACTTGTGTTGACGCCTTGCTTCAGTCAGGCTTTTGTATCCGGCGCTGGTGCCATGTACTGTCGACTACTCTGCTCGATATGCTTAAGCTCATTGGATACTTGGTTGCACAAGACCGCAACAGTGCTTCTGCAACCAGCTTGAACGGAACTTGTGTTGACGCCTTGCTTCAGTCAGGCTTTTGTATCCGGCGCTTAAACGCTTTGACTCTCCTGATCGGTCCCTCAGCATCTGCAATCGGCCTTTGATGCATTCAGAAAGTTCACTTACTTTCGTGGGACTGAGCTGCTGACCTGACTGGATTGACTGACTGCGAAATTGATATGTCTGGGCTTGAACGATGTCGACCAAAATAAAGCAGTACAGATGGGCGTAAGACGATTTCACGGATCGAGGTCAGAATGGGATCGGGTGGGTGTTTTCACATCTGACTTGGCTTACTGGACTTACCAGGCCTACTGGACCTCAGTGTCTCTCGACTGGACTGGTACTGTGGTGGGTGGGACTTTGGAACTCTTGGGACCGGGACTGGGACTGGGACTTGGACGCTGAGGCGCGTGAGACCCTTAAAGATAACTCTTCATCTAATCATCTGTTTCTGACTTTGACATGTGGGACCATGTGGCTGCGTTTATCTATTTTTGCAGGCCTATGATGATCACTGCCCCACCAGTGTATGGGCACGGACAGCAACATGCAGCATCCTCTTCCGCACCGGCGCAACCAGAGCTCTAAACTGTGTAACTCCTGTTTTAGTAGTGTGAGAGCAAGGGAGGAGTCCTCCATGGTTCGAAGGCTGAAAGAGGAGGATGGACACATCCCAGGGCTGGCTGTTCATGTCGTCTCAGACAGGACAATATCTTGTTCCCTAGCGTCGATTTGGAAAAAGTACCGGGAGGGCGGGGGGAGGGAGTAGGGTTTCGCTGGATACGTTGTGTGCATGCTATTTGTTCGCGAAATCAGGACCTGTGCGGTCTGCGAGGTGGAGACCACTATTAGCAGAGACTGACGCCAGATTGCTTTCTTCAGCTGGTTTCAAGGGTGGTGATGGAACACTGCTCCATGCAGTCGCAGTGATGCAGAGGGGGGAATGACATGGCCGTCCGTCCATGCAGTCATGGAGGGCCAGGGCTATAAATCTGTGGAGAAGGTGTTTGTTGACGATGCTGCGTCAAAACTCTGCTCATGGAAGAAAAACCTTTCAGTGAGAGCTTGTAGGTTGACGGATTGAAGGTAACGCCAATGCTTGGCTGCTGATTGGTTCGTTCTTGCCCATTCCACAAAGCATCTACGTTCAGCGATAGGCATGGTTTTACGGGAAGGAGGGGCGGTATCAATCAACTTATCTGATTCTTATGTTGCTTTTTCTTGTCCTTTGATTACTGAGACTGAGTTGCCGGCAGTGCCAATCTGTTTCATTGCTTGTTGAGTGTGGCAGGTTCTTCTCCCCTTTGGCTGAATGTTTTGCGTGTCTTTTGTTGGTTTTGAGCTTGCAAGTTCTTTCCTTCTCAGGTGTTTGGGTTAAATTGGTCCTTGGCTGGAAGTCTCTTGTCTTTATTTCTTCATACCTTTTTCTTTTTTTAGCTGGGGTGAGGCGGAGGAGGCAAAGGCTGTTGTTATTCCTCTTCGGGACATGGACAATGGCCTTCCACAGGCTTCTGGTGAGTTGAGGGGAGAGCGGAGGCAGTGAGTTGCAGGAGTGGATGGGTGCCATGTACTTTGGTTTTCTGGGAGCCCGATCGCTTTTGTTGAATCTAATTGGCCTCTTGATTTGTCGTGTTTACTAGCTTACCACGCGTCTTCTCGTCAAGGTCGTCGGGATTCTTATTGGCAAGCAAACATCATTGTTGCTTGTTTATGTCCCGATTTGTACCTTTCCGTCTCCCTGGTGGGTATTGTTCCTGGTTATTGTCAGCTATCTTTAATAGTGTTGCGCTGTTGGAGTTTTACCGGCGTTTCGAGTTTGACTGTGCTCTGTGCTCCACGGTAACTCCCTTTATTCAATGCAGTGGTCCCCGCCATTTTGGTCAAATGAACGACAGATTGATTGATTGGTTGATTGACCCACTGATTGATTGGTTGATTGATTGATCGATTGATTGATTGATTGATTGATTGATTGATTGATTGATTGATTGATTGAGCAAGGCGAGGATAAGGACTGGCTCATATAGGACTGTAGAAAAGACTGTAATTGAGTGCCAGTACCTTGGTTGCTGTGTTTTTGCAGTTGCTGATATCTTGTATCTGTCCGCCTTATGTGTTGAGGTTCGGTTGCGTCATGAGCTTTGCTGCTTCTGTCCGTTTTAGAGGCAAGGTATCCTCTTTTGTAGGTGGTGCTTATTCACTGTTGATTGGGGGCATGGGATCAGTAAAGGGCAGGGTAAGAGCAGAGTTTCCAGTTTTGGCTGATATTCTTTCCCGAGAGTTATATGAGGTGTTGATTGATTGTGTACTGCGTGATATGCGGCGTCTATTCCGTTTGCGGGGGTTGATGAGAGCCAGTGGTTCTTTCTCAGGTGTTAACCTCCATTGGCGAATGGCCAATGACTAGGATTGATTTGTCTCGTTTTCTGTTGTTTTGGTTTCCTAAGCTTGCGTTCGTATTCCTCCCCCACCGCCTCCCCTCTTCCCCCACCTTACCACAGCTCCTGGCAAAGAGGAGCTGGCAGTAGGGCATGCAAAAAGCTGTTACTTTGAAATTTGAAAGGAGTATAAGAAGGTGTTATGACCTTCATTTCGTTACGAAGAAGCAGAGTTCTGGCTGCCTTCATGCCATGGCTTATTGCAGTCGTGTGCATACTGCGGCAAAGCTTCCCTGTTGTTGTACGCCAAGGCTGTGTTCGGGCGGGCTCAAGCTGCTCGAGTCCACCGGATTGGCAAAAGAGTTATGTTTATGTGCAGATGCGTTGTCTGTCATTTGATGGTAGGTGAGGAATTGGTGGGTCTGAGCTGCTCAGATTGTTGACCGAGTAGGTGGTGAAGGAAGCGAGTCTCCGTGCTCTGTCTGAAATGATGTGGTGTTCCGGTTCCTCCTAGATTGCTGACGGACGCTGGCGATCGGAGGGACGTTGGGGCATATTGCTTGGCTCGATTGGTTAGATTTCTTCGGCTGGGGTGTTGTGGAGGGGAGGTTTGATCTTGGAGATGTGACCATAAGCAGTAAAGTAAAAGACAGACTTCTGTGGGAAAGGGTTTTGAAGTCTTCAGGACGATAGCAGGGAGGTGTGGCTGGAGAATACGTGGGTTTGTCGAACAGCGATCCCCCTTCGAGAGATGACAGGCATGCAGAGTGTCGGAGAGGCTGCTGCTGAGGTAGGGCATGCAGGTGGTCCAGAGGATGCATGGAAGAGCAGTAGAGGGCTTGGTGGGGGGGTTGCATTACAGCAAGGCAGTTGTCCAGCACAGGGTAGTCGGATTGCACCGTTCCCGCATACAATGCCCCATCCCTGGCCGCCTATGCCGATTGTGCAGGCCTCTCCTTTTCCTCCTCCTCCGCAGCTTACACAGCCACCTGTCTTCGTGTCGCCCCCTCCATATCTTCCTTACTTGTATCCGGCTGTCCCAGCTCCTTACTATGTGGCACCTTACACCAACCCATATGCTACATTCCCAGTTCCTCCTCGCTCTGATGTAGCCGCGCCTTATCCCTGTACCACTTGGCCCTATCAGTACACCTATGCAAGTGGTCTGGAGCCAGCTGTCAACAATTCTGCCTCTCCTGTTTCAGTTGCATCGGGGGTGCCGTCATTTTCGGGGGGGGTTGATCGGATGGCGCCAGTGGTGTCGGTGGTTACCTCATCAGGAGGAGGGCATGCAAGGAGAGCAGATGGTGGAACAGCGGGGCCGGCACCAACACAATCTGATATGGTTGTGTCTGAGGAGGTCCACACTGCGTCAATGGATAGCCTTCGTCTCAGACTCGATTGTTCATTGTCGTATGCAAGGAAGCGGGGCCGTGAACGACTGGCGGGTCGTCGATCGCTTTCCAGAAAGCAAGAGCAACCAACTCTGTCCACAGAAATGACCGACGAGGATCGGCGGAAGCTACTGTCTGCACCGGTTGACCAGTGGGTTGATTCCACGTATGGTATGTCTTTTTTCCCTTTTTTCTTTTGTTAAAAGAAACATGCCTTGGGGGTACTAGTGGTGCTGCTTGTAAGAGCAGACACCGCTAACACCTGCAGTGGGGACTCCCATCTATTGGTTGGGAACATCGCCTGCTGGAAGATTGCTTGCGCTCTTTCCAGCGTATTTCTTACATAGACTTCTTTGTAAAACTCACCAGCCGAAGAAACCAATTGACTTGAACTGCGCGATCTCTTCATAACTCTATCGGTTCTGCTTTCTTCGGCTCGATCGGCGGAAGATTGCTTCTTCTCTTTCCTGGTATTGCCCTGCGCTTGTCTTAGCCACGCAATTGGTTGATGTGTGTGCCTCATATGCAACCATTTGGTTTAAATGCTCTATGTCAGTTCCTGTCTTGCTGGTAACCTGTGTGATATATGAAGTTGTTGCTGCCGTCCAAGAAGCAGCTTGCTCATGCTATTTCTCTGTTATCACCCTTCTCTTTTCTAGTCCATGTCCTGTGTTCCACATGTGCCTCATTTCAACCACTTGGCAAATGCAGCTCTCTTCTTGGAGTTAACGTTAGGAGTCTTAGGACCACAATTCTCTCTGATGCTTTGGACTGTGGTTGGTCTAGCATCAGTCCAGTACTTGGAGCTGTGTTTCTCTCCCGCTATCTGCTGTAGTTGTACTCCTCCTCCGCCTCCTCCTCCTCCTCCTGTGGGTGTTTGTGTATTTTCCTCCTTTCCTGTACATGCCCGTCTGTGGTTTGACTAGCAGTCCAGCACTTGGGGCTATGTTTCCCCTTCTGTCTCTTATAGATAGTTTGGGATGGATGAATTCAGTTAATTCTCTCTGATGCTTTGTGCCAGCAGACTTGACTCTGGACTTGCTTTCAACATGCACACTTGAGAACCGATGGAAAAATTAAACTCTTCCAACTCAGAAACAACAGGAAACTTGTATTAAACTCAATCTGAACCGGCTGTACAACTTGCGGCTATGGCCGCCGAACACCGTCTCTACCACCAGCCTCACTTCCCACACTCTCGCATGCACACATGTACGAGGATCACTTTGAATATCCCCACTCAGCACAGCCTCACACACTCTGTACACTCGTCTTCACCAACAGCTGGGTGGCTATGGCCGCCGTCGTCTTCCTCCTGGTAGGTATGGCCGCCGGTGTCTCCCTTGCTGGTTCGCTATGGCCGCTGTCTTCTTCACAGCCCACTTCCTCTCCGGGCACCTGCAGACCTCCACGCACAAGATACCAAGGCAGCTCTTCCGCATGGCTCACAGGCGAATGAATGAATGACTGGACGCTGCCTCTTTATTTATACTTCTTTGGAGGTACCCGGGCCTGCCTCAAAACGTGTGGCCCGGGGAAGTTTCCAGACGTTTGGCCTTCTGGGCCAAAACATGTGAAACCCACAGTGTGCTCCAGAACCTTCCCCACGTGCAGTCCCTACCACTGGTACTTGCTGACTGGACTGGCCTACAGGGACCTACGACCTTCCAGAGCCTACAGACTTACAGACAGACTCTAGGCCTCAGTAGACTCAGATAGAAATTTCTAGAACAGGCCTTCCTAAGCCTAACGGTAACAGACCTAACTCCTAATCTACAGACCTAGGAATCAAGTCCTACTGTCCGACCTACAGACTAGCCTAGGACGTAGGGAAGGTCTAGGGATCGAATCCTACTCAGGTCACTGGGTCTATGTACAGGTATAGGATAGGTCTAGGGATCAAATCTCACTCAGCACACAGGTTCAATGTACAGGGTTAGGGCACAGGTCTGGGGATCGAATCTCTGTGTCTGCAAAGTCGGGTCAACTGAGTGAAACCGTTTCACTCCCGCCGTCCTAAATTCGAGGTCCTCCGAGAACACTCTAACTCAAGGTAGGACCTTTGCCCTTTCTTTCCCTCTCATAGGCGTGTACTATGTCAGGAGCGGTTTCTAGAAGCTATGTTCTTGTAAACCATCGGTCGTCCTTGGGTTCCTGGTATGTGAACCTAACCTTGTACTGTTTCTGGGGACGACCTCGACCTCCTGTCCTGAACATGTCCTCTTTCACTATGTGATCTATATCATATGCGCCATCCATGTTTGCCGGAATCATCGATCTCCTAGAAGGGAATCTGTCAGATGCGGTGCAGGGTAACAACTTAGATGCATGGAAGACTGGATACGTGTGGAGGTGTGCTGGAATCTCTATAGTATACGACGGGCCGTCCTCTCCTCCTTTGACTTCTAGGACAGGCCACGGTCCGCCATACACAGGTAAGAGCTTCTGCGAGATGTTTTCCTCAGGTGCAAAGTCCTTTGACTTGACCCAGACTAGATCGCCTACCTGAAACTGTGAAGGTCGGCGGTGCTTGTTAGCTTGCTCTATCATCCGATGCTGGGCCTTTCTCAGATTGTCTATGACCTCAACGACTTCATGCGCATGCTGTAACGCAAACTCTCGTGTGCCGGGTGGTGGTCTGTGTATCTGGTCCCGGTTTAGTCCCTCAAACAGTTGCCTTGGTCTAAAGGACTTATGTAGCTCGTTAGGAGTCCTGCAGGTAGCTAGATGAACATTGTTATTGTAGGCACTTGCTACTTTGAAGCATCTCATCCCAGTTTATTTGATCTGGTCTAATATATATTCTAAGTAGCTGTTGCAAGATCTTATTCATCTGCTTTGTCTGACCATTAGTCTCTGGGTGTCGTTTTGACGACATCAACAACTTAGACCCATAGACTTTCATAAGATCCTGCCAATCCTGACTAGTAAACCGCGTGCCCCTATCACTAAATATGGACAGCGGCATACCATGCTCGCTTACCCAGAAGTCGAAAAACTTACTAATGACTAAGTCTGTACGTGCCTCTAAAGGCATGGGAACAAATACTGCATACTTGCTAAACCTATCTACTCTACTCTTGACCCTAGTATCCATGAAGTCAATGGAAACCGAATCTCTGGGTCCTGACGAAATAGGCAAGGGTCTCAGAAGACCTAGCGGGGCTTTGGTTGTAGTTTTATTCCGCTGACATACCTTGCAGCTGCGCACATACTCTATGCAATCTGCTTTCATGCCTGGCCACGTATATAACGTCATCAGGTTAGCTAGAGTTTTTTGCCATCTGAAGTGCCCTTTTGTATCGTGGCACTCCCCTTAGATCAGGCTACGGATCTCTTCACTATTGGGGACACATAGTCTGTCAGCGACATTGGTCTTTTCAAACAATAGCCCGTTCGTGGTTTAGTAGTGCGGCTCGCTATCTGGGGCTTCCCCATCAATTCACTGTAGATCAGGTCCTGAGCATATTCATCCCCAATCTTTTGCTACAGGTCGGCACCTATGTCTAGATGGTGCACTATCGCGCCGAAGTAATCAGCTCTCCTACTCAGAGCATCGGCTACCACATTGTACTTTCCTTTCACGGGCTGTAACTCGAAGTCAAACTGATCTATCTCAGCAGCCCATCTTGTCAACTTGGGCGTCGTCTTGGCCTGTGTCTTTGACCATCTAAGAGTCTCGTGATCAGAATATACCTTGAAGTGCCTTCCAAGCAGGTAATGTTTCTAGTGATCTAAAGCCTGAGAGCGTTGAGTTCCCTCTCGTATGTCGATGCTGCTACCTTTTCCGAGGACAGCTTGGCTGACATGAACTCTACGGGTCTATAACCGTTGTCATCATCTTGCTGCAAAACGGCACCTATCCCATACAGACTAGCGTCTGTAGTAACAACGAATGGTAATAATGGATCAGCAACTTTGAGGACAGGGTATTCTATCAGAGCCTTCTTCAATTTCTTGAAGGCTGACGTACAGTCCTGGTCCCACTTCCAAATAGTCTCTTTCTTCAGCAACCTACGAAGGGGAGCAACGATCGTGGAGAAGTTCCTCACGAACTTCCTGTAGTAGTTAGCCAGTCCTAGGAATGAGCGCAACTCTGTCAGCGTCTTAGGAGTTGGCCAATCTTCAATGGATGCAATCTTGCTGTCCTCGGGCCGAATGCCATCGCCATCTAGTACATGGCCTAGGTAAAGGACCTGTGTCTTGGCCCATTCGCACTTCTTCGGGTTAATCTTGAAGTTAAGACTCTCTCAGCTTGCTTAGAATCTGTCGCAGATGGCCCTCATGTTCCTCGAGGGTCTTGCTGAACGCTAGGATGTCGTCTAGGTACACTACGACAAACCTATCTAACCGTGGTCTAAACAAGTCGTTCATGCAGCGCTGAAATGTAGCTGGTGCATTAGTAAGTCCGAACGGCATCACTACGAACTCGTAATGCCCATACCTCGTCCTGAACGCCGTCTTATACTGATCGTCAGGGTGCACTTCTATCTGATGATATCCTGATTTCAGATCTATCTTTGAGAAATACTTGCATCCCTGCACGCGATCTAACAAGTCATCTATACGCGGCAATGGCTTTGCATTCTTGATGGTGATGGCGTTCAGTCCCCTGTAGCCTATACACATACGTAGCTCTCCCTCCTTCTTTGGGACAAACAGAACAGGTGCGCAGAAAGGTGATGAACTAGGCTTGATCCATCCTTTTTCTAGGAGCTCATCTAACTGTCTGCGAAGCTCCTCTAACTCCTTGGGAGACATCCTGTAGACTGACCCCTTAGGCGTCCTACTGCCAGGTTCTATCTCTATAAGGTGCTAGATTGGTTTGGGCACTACTCCTGAAGGTGCTTTAGATAAATCATTGTACTCTTCCAGCAGACTGGCGATAGTAGGATGGATCTTCTCCTCTTCCTTGGGCTGGTAAGAAATCGGCCTAACATAGGCTACAAACACCTACACTTCGAGCTGCTCCTTTCGCACAAGTCTGGCGAATGCAGGAGCGCTGAGTCAGCAATGGGCAAGGGGATTATCTACCCCAGACTCCTGGAACAGGCGGACTTGCTTGACTTCGCCTGACACGCTAGGGAGCCTACACCCGTGCCCTCTAAGGTGCGGTGTGGCTCCTGCTGCCTCTCCCCAATCCGTACCTAGAACAATCTCAAACGGGAGAC